TGATATATGTTATGGACTCTCTAGAAAAACGGTACCGCTCAAATAAAATTACATGGGGATATGACAAAAAATCAACTGAGGTAGGCCTATTTAAACACCTTTCACTTTAAAAAGGGGCGGAGACCGGAGGAAACTCTGGGTTTCCCGAACAAAACCTGCTCCCAACCAGGTTAGGTTCACAGAGTAAGTTGCCATAGTAACTGACTCTGAGTTTAGATTACCTCTCTTTTTGAAACGGGTTTAACTTACCCCGCTTTCACGGGTTTAAGTTACCTCTTTCTGGAACCGAAAACTCCGAGTTTTCCTCATTCGTGAAACGGGCCCCTGGTGAGGGGGACTAAACCATAACAGAATGTCTCTTATTGCTACTCTGAGGAGCAAGAAGGCTGCTGCAGGAGCCTTGAGAAAGAATACACGAATGCATGCTTGGTGGAAATCATTTGCAGACCAAAGCTCCTCTTTATGATAAATTAGTTGGTGATTGGGATGCTTCAAATGAAGGATGACAGTAACAGATGCCTCATTTCGCTTTAAACATTGCTCCCGGTGGCTTGATTAGCGCCGTTGTGTGGCAGCTGTCGTCATCGGTGTGTGAATGTGTGCGTGAATGGGTGAATGGTGGTATGATCTCCCTGTAAAGCGCTTTGGAAAAAAGCGCTATATAAATACAGTCCATTTACCATTTACCATTTAAACATGTTTCCTTGGGTCCTCTCTCTTCACTTTTATTCCTTGCACCTTTTCCTTTCATTTCTTATGTGGGCTGGATTAAGACACAAGCAAAATATGCAAGTGAGGGAAACATAGTGAAATTAAGGGATTTGGGACTCACCCACTGACTGAGTTGATACTTGGTCATTAAATATATTCATTCACTCCTCACCTACAGCAGTAGAAAAACTTGTGATGAGCTTTGGGCAAATAAACTACTCATTATCTCACAAAAAAGAAATTTCCTTCCTGATGTTTATACCACCTTGGCTTGAATTGCTGTTGATCTTTATCAAATTGCCATACCCATCTTTAAGGCCAGGGTGACAAGAGCCATGCTGAATCAAAGCGCATCAGTGGTGAGTGCCTGGTTTTTAAACAAATTCAAATCTAATAGATATTCTTTTAGTGGTAGGATATTAGCTGCATGACTGGTTGACAATACTCTTTGTACTGAGATTAGCTGGGCCTGGACTGAGCTGGGCTTTGAAGGAAACGTCCACCTTACTTTCCAGCCCTTGGTCAACCTCCCTTGACTGTCAGATTTCAGTGTGTGAATCTCAAGTTTGCCAGAAATGTGGTCCCTCTGGTCCATTCTTTAAGCTGGTTCCTATTGGCAGTGGAAGGTTGTAACAGTTAGGATAATGACAGCTTAAAAAAAAAAATTTTTCTCATTTTAATCTTAATAGCACCCACACTAGACGATTCAATCAAGACACAATTTTTACTCAATAGTTTCAGAGGCGTTGATTCCAGGGATCAGCGATCTCACAGAAACACTTGACGTGTCTTCAGAACAAAACAAACAAGGAGGTGGACATTCATCATGAAGCAGTAGCATTCCAGTGTGCTATATTTTGTGCAGAGAAAAAAGAGGAGAAAAAATTGTGGATGAAAGCTTGGCTGAGAAGATGAATTCAACATGGTTTATACATTTAAACATATACATCACTTTTACATTGCTGTCATTGGCTGTTGAGGGTGTCTGGTCAGGATTCAGTCGCTGTTGCCCTCACATTACAGGATTCCAAATTGTTAATAAACCCGATATGTGAAGTAGTCATTTTCGTCCTAGCTGGGGAACGATCTGGGGAACCAACCAAAGAAATTCCATTAGTGAAAATGCAAAACAGGACACAGATTTAAGTCATTCTACATTTAAATAGCCTATTGACTGGCAACAAACAGATTTTTTTCTTTATATAAAAGTAGCAATTTCCTTTTTTAAATGAAACTTTGTTTTAAAAATGAAAAGCCTCTAAGTCAGCTAAACACCCACTCAAGCCCCCCATCCCTTACCCCCACCTCGGCACTCTGACTGGCTAATTGTTTCCCTTTACCTCCAGTAGCTTCACATTTTTAGAGACAGGCTGAAAACTGTATAAATTGTTCAGCTAACTCACAAGAATGCAAGCAAACAAGATTATCTCCTAAAATTGTATAATTTGCATAAGCATTACTATGTGCTGAGGTGCTGTCACATTTTAAAATAAAAAGAGCAACAATCTGTGTTGTGTTAATAGCTAGAGAGATGTCCAGTAAATATTTCAACACTGGAAGCTTTCAATTTTTGACTAAAAAACATCAGATTTGTTAAATAATACTGAGACAGTGCATGTTATGCACCTGATTTAACTATTACAGAGCAATATACTGTACACGTATTCTGAGAATTGCATTTCTTACTTTCTATTTTAAAGGTGATTTTAAATAAATGAATATTAAGGGATAAAATCGCAGAGAGAAGACTGGAATGGAGATAAAGTGCAGAGAAAGCAGATAAAAAATATGGGTTGATGAGCAAGCAAGGAGGAAGGGAAGGGTGGAAATAGTGAAGAGAAGAGGAATAGTGAAGAGTAATAGATTTGAGAGGCCAGAAAATAAGAGAATAGCTAGAACGTGGAAATGCAGAGACATAGAGCTGCAGGACTGTGAGTGCTACAGGATGTAGAGGGTGCTGGTAGAGCTCATTATTGTATGTCTTCACGGTGGGGGAAATACTATATGTTTATCTGTGTGTTTGTGGAGGTGTGTGTCACTTACATGGACAATTTACATTTCACCAACTATAATATGAGAGGAATTTAATGAAATTGGTGTAGAGTTAGGGCCACTTCCAAACTATGTGGAGCAAATGCATATTCCAGCATGTGCATAGCACCAAGTTATTTGCCCACTCAATTTCAATTTGAGTGTGGTGTTCATTGGTGATCCCTCCATCTCACTTGTGTCTCTCTTTCACAGCCTGTTTTACCTCTCTGCACTTTGCCATCAATCTCTGACCCTCCCCCTCATTCAGCAGTTCTCACTCCATCTTACCAACCTTCCATCTCAGCCCTCATCAATCTGCTGCCTGGACCACTCTCGTGGCACTGAACTTCTCAACTCTTCTTCTCGCCCCTAACTACCCCTTCTCTCGCCCTCTTTTGTCGTCCCCTGCCCTGGGTTGCTCCCTCCATCAATCATGCATCCAACTCACGCACTGCTAGTCTGGACCTCCTTCTCCCCTCCGCCCACCCACTCAACACATTAATCTCTATCAACTGTCTACACTCAGTAAGCTAGACAAGAGGCAGGCTACTCACTTTGCTCTCTGTCTTTGTCCTCAATGTTTTCTGTCTCCCCTGTTTTTCTCTCTTTGCAGCTTTCAAGCTGATCCCATATTTCAGCACCTGTTCCACCTATGTAATGGTATTCATTTCATGAAACCACCTACCCATCCTCCCACTAATTTTACATCCCTTTTACTTCACTTTACTAACCTTTTCTCCTTCCCCTTTCTTCTCACACCTGTGCTTCTGTCACCCTGGTTATTTTCTTCTATCTAATATCACATTCTGACTACAGCATTGATTTTTTAAAGGATTTTGTAACTCTAAAATGGAGTTGTTGCTTATAAGTTCTTCTCAGTATATATACTGTAGGTACATGTATATGTTTTAAGTGTGCTGGAGGTATATGGTCATAATTCTAGTTTCAGACAAGCAAAGAATGAACTAGAGAGACTAGACCGCCAATTAATTGGCAGCTATTTTGATAATTGCTTCATCATTATAAGTCAAGTATAAATGTCAAACATCTTCTATTATAAGCTCCTAATTTGTGAAGATTTGCTGCATTTCTTTGTTTTATAGGAAGTTAGAATATCTTTGGGGTTTAATGTGTTTGTCAAACAAAACAAGTCATTTGAAGATGTCGCCTTGTGCTTTGTAAAATTGTAAGAGGAATCTTTCACAATTTATAGACTGAATAAAAACTGTAATGATCCACACTGCTTCACATTTTGAAATAAAAGTGCCTCATGGGACTAAATGTTCAAAGTGAGAAGAGATATTATTGAACTGAAATTATTTGTTGTAAAATGTTCTGTATAAAATGAGTATTTTGCAATTATTCCCTTTGGTGCTACATAAAAATCTGCCGTGGTGGAGTCTAAACACTGGTGGTTAAGAAGTGTTGAACAAATGTGACATGCAGCAGGATCTATCAGTGTTCACTGGACTGGACCTTTAGCGGTGTCACACTCGGGGCTCTGATAAACACTGAAGGGGCTGAAGTGGGGCATCTCGATCAGCCGGTGACATGACAGCTGACAGCAGAGCAGAACAAAAAATCCTAACAGTAACAAGATTATAAGCTAATAGAGACTGTGTAAAAGGCAAATATTAAGGGTTAAATGTAAAAGAAGAAATGCTCATAGTCAGCTCATTGGAGACTGTCCTCCTGTAAAATATGAAAGCATGACAAAATATTACATGTCATAGTTTGACAAAATCTCTAGACTGCTATTAATTATGACATAAGGAAAGGAGTAAGTAGACCTCAATGGAGGCACAAATTCCATGTTCAGAGGAGGTGGGGTGGATAGTTAGATACACACTGCACAAGACTTTCTTGCAGGAGACCTGAGTTCACTTCCAGTGTGTGGCTTTTGTTTTCCAAGAGTTTGTTCCTAAACATACCAACGTGGTTTTGTCCCTAAATGTGACCAAGTCTTTTCTTCCCTAAACATAACCAAGTTATTTTTGTGCCTAATCCTAACCAATAATTTGTTGTTCTGAAACTATAACCTAGTAGTTTTACCTAAACCTAACCAAATTTTGTGCCTAAACCTAACCAAGTGCTTTATGTGGTGAAACATAATGAAACCACGATGGTTTCATAATCGTAGCTTCATATTTATGTCAGTTTACAAGACGATGGACTTCCAGTGTTTATAGGTGTTTCCTTGACAACAAAGGTTTGTAAAGCTTGGTAGCGTGATGTATGTTGTCGATAATTTTGGTGGGATTTTTGTAATTCTTCCCACAATCCAAAGGTGAGCTATTTAATGACGGGTTGTATGAGAGTGAAGGGACAAATAATCATATGGGTTGTATAGGCTGGAGAACGTGTTGGCTGATTGAGTTCAACTGCTTGACATATAAACATTTTTCATGAATTGTCTACCTTAAATAAACAGATAGATAGATCGATAGATAGAGTTACAATCTGAAAATGTGCCCAGCAGGCCATGAGTAATCCATCCATCCTTAAACCTGTACAGGTATGTGAACAGTAGATGTTGTGAGCATGAGTGTAAATGTGGGACCCAGAGCATCTCCATTTAGCTCCTTCAACAGTGACCTCAGTGGCATTTGACTTCCACACCTCATGGATCTGTCACAGAGAGGTAGCACTACCACAAGGTTGTAGAAAGACCACGTACATCAAATAACCTTTACTATCCGCTCACTACTTCACACTGCATCAACACTCTCTCTCTTGCTCTCTCCAACACAAACTCGCGCATAAACACACACAGATTTTCTCCTTTGCTGTTATTTCAGTTTCAGTCACTACCCAAATGTGAGAAATACATGCACATCCCTGCTATACACTGTATATACACATGCATTTGGATTGACCACATGCACACACACACACACACGCTGGACTTCAAGGGGAGCCAGGGAGACATACCGGGTTTGCAGGCTATGGCTTCATCCATCACCACTAAGCCCACCTCTCCACTTCACCACCATGTATCCATCCATCATTTCCTCCCTCTCTCTTTCTCTTTAATTCTGCCTCAACCCCGTGTGCCCCCTCCCTCTGTCATCTCTTCCACCTCTCTCTTTTATGCTTTCAG